AACCCTTCTGCAGCCAGGGTGAAGCTTTGTTTGCTACTCGGTGGTGAAATGTGGGCCTGGGAGCATGCCTTCGCCTTCCTACATCCAACTGCTGGACGCTCTGTGGTGTCCGAGGATGTTTTGCATACGCCGTGGCATATCCAAAAGAGCAGGGTACCACACCTGTCTTTTCGACGTGTCTCGCATGACGGACCCGTTCTGGGGCGGTGTCCGCAAGATCACATGCCTGGTGGGCTCTCTTTCGCAGGTTGCTGGCGACAAAGTTAGGTACTACGAAGTCCCGCATGGTCGGACCGAAAGCATCGAGAAGCGACTCCTCATGAGCTCTATACGCGAGATGTTTGCGGCTGATGCCGTCAAAAGTTCTGCTTCAATCGCTGGTTTGAGTGCTCACGAACAGCCCGTTTGTTTGGGGTTTAGGGGTTCTGGGCGGCTTCTTCGAATTTAAGCTGAGTTACCCTTCTCCACACAGTAGAGAACACCGTTCGCTCTTGTACACGGCAACTCAAACCCCTAAACCCTGAACCCCAAACCCCAAACCCCAAACCCCAAACCCCAAACCCCAAACCCCAAACCCCAAACCCCAAACCCCAAACCCCAAACCCCAAACCCCAACCCCAAACCCCCAACCCCAAACCCCAAACCCCAAACCCCAAACCCCAAACCCCAAACCCCAAACCCCAAACCCCAAACCCCAAACCCTAAACCCTAAACCCTAAACCCAATCTAAGTTCCTTAACGACAATTGGGGGAGTCCCGGCCCCCTCCAAACCCTAAACCCTAAACCGCAAACCCCTTAGCCCCTAAACCCCTTAGGCCCTAGACCCCAAAACCCCTAACTCCAAGCCATCAACCTTAAACCTTAAGCCCTAAAAGCCGCCTAAACCCCTGACCCCCTAAAAACACACTGAAAAAACCCTACGCCTCGAAGTTTCTAAACCCTAAGCCCCTAGACCCCCAAAGCCCCCTCAAAAAACCCTGAAAAAAACCCCTAACTCTAAACCATCAGAAACATCACCGTAAACCCTAAGCCCTAAACCCCTAAAGGACCCTAACCCCCCTAAAAAAACCCTGAACAAACCCTGAAAAACACTTAAAAAACTCTAAAGAACCCTGAAAAAACCCTGAAAAAACTCTAAAAAGCCCTAAAAAAACCTTGAAAAAGCCCCTAAGCCTCTATGCCCCTACACCCTGAAAAACACCTAAAAAACTCTAAAAAGCCCCCAAAAAACCTTGACAAAGCCCCTAAGCCTCTATGCCCCTAGACCAGGCTGGCCTGCGCCTGCCTCTGCACGGGCGTGGTGCTGATGTCGACCGGACTGGTGCTTCGGCCCAGGAATCATAGGGTTTAGGGTTTAGGGTTTAGGGTTTAGGGTTTAGGGTTTAGGGCTAGGGTTTAGGACTTAGAGTTGCGGTTTATCTTTTTATTGGCTTCGTGGAGGGGTGGGGGGGGGATGTTTTTTTTTTTTTTGCGGGAAGGTCCCCTGCCCCCCACCTACCCTTAGCTCCTGGGGCTCTAGGGTCTGGTCATAGAATATGATACTCTCTTTCATACAAACCCTAAACCCTAAACCCTAAACCCTAAACCCTAAACCCTAAACCCTAAACCCTAAACCCTAAACCCTAAACCCTAAACCCTAAACCCTAAACCCTAAACCCTAAACCCTAAACCTAAACCCTAAACCCTAAACCCTAAACCCTAAACCCTAAACATAACGTATATGCATTATGTGATGTAGGTATATCATAGCAGACTATCAGCGGGCTTTAGGGCTTCGAGTTCTAGGGCTTAGGACTCAGGCTCTGGGATTACGAAGCTTTAGGGTGGTGGAGTTCTAAACCCTAAACCCTAAACCCTAACCCTAAACCCTAAACCCTAAACCCTAAACCCTAAACCCTAAACTAAACCTAAACCCTAAACCCTAAACCCTAAACCCTAAACCCTAAACCCTAAACCCTAAACCCTAAACCCTAAACCCTAAACCCTAAACCCTAGCCCGCCCCTGCTGCACAGGTATCCACATCGGTCACCGCGACGGCCTATGCGGCCAATGCACTTTTTGGGCTCGTGGCCGTGCTCCCTCAGGCCCTGATTGTTTCGCGTGGCTTGGGGCGTAGGGTTTAGGGCTTTAGGGTTTGCTGTAAAAGGGTTTAGGGTTTAGGGGTTTAGGGTTTGAGGTTTAGGGTTTAGGGTTCACTGTTCAGCGTTTAGGGCGAAGATTCGTGAGGGGGGAGCGGGGGTCAGGGCCACAAGCCCTAAACCCAAAACCAGTGAGGGCCTTGGAGCTTCAGAGGGGGCTTTGAAGTATTCTTTGCTTTCTTGTGCGGAGGCCCAAAAAAGTGACAAACTGAGCCTTAAAGTCTGAGATCATGATGATGGGGGTTTCTAACCCTTTTCGCGGTTCCCAAAAGAAGCTCCTTTGGCGGGGGAAAGAATCTGGGGGGGAGAAATGCAGGCGGACCCGTTTACGTTGAGAAGTGCTCTAATCCCGAGTGGACTCTATGGACCATGAACCCTGGCAGCGCGTCTTTCACCCCACCTGGGCACATATACATAGATGGAAATCGAGAGCAGCAACGTTTAGGATGTAGTGTTGAGGCAAAGCCCTGATGCAAGAAAGGCAGTAAGCATGCCAAGACACCTTCAATCCCCAAACCTCCTTGAGAAACTCAAGAAGCCTTGTCCTAAAAGCTAAACCCTAAACCCTAAACCCTAAACCCTAAACCCTAAACCCTAAACCCTAAACCCTAAACCCTAAAGACATGCTAGACAACGAGGAGTTCCAAGCCGTAGGCCTAAAGCTTTCTGGTCCATCTGTACAGACCTGACTCCAGGTGGTGATCAACTACCGCAACAAGTGTCTGAGCGAAACCATGAAGCTTTTGTTCAAGACATGTCGGGTTTAGGGTTGTGGGTTTAGGGTTTAGGGTTTAGGGCTTGGAGCCCTGAATGCCAGTTGGAATGTTGAGATGCGGTTTTTTGTTTAGGGTTTGACATGTTCGGTTCTGCAAGCGTTTGGTAGGTATGTCGACCTTCTTTCCAAATCAATAACTGATTGTCAAATCTAGGAATACTCTAGGCTAGCCCCCAACCCCACCCACGCAGTACTGGTGGCTATGACTACAATCAGGCCTAGACTATTACTTTGCGGGGGTCTGTCCTAAAGGAATATTGCACTTGCCCCTCCCTTGTTGGGGAAAGCAGGTACAGGACCCAAGCGTGTCGGGTGTAGGTTCGGGCGCAGAAGTTCGGAGGCTTTTGGGATCGCGGTATATACAAAACCCTAAACCCTACTCCCTGAACCCTAAATTGTAGGGGGAGTGGCCCGAGAGAGTCAGCCAGGCGGGAGGCAACAACCAAACCTAGGGTTTACGGGCTACAAATTAGAGAGGAGGTTGGCGTTTAAACTGCTCTGAAGGCCAGGGTTTAGGGTTTAAGTTCATAGGGTTTCGGGCTTAAGGTTTCGGATCCAACCTTATAGACTCCACGCTTGGGATTTGCAACCCTACACCTTAAACCCCTTGCAATGTGTGCTGGCCGAAAACCCCAGACCCCAAAACCCATGCCACTGAGCCCAAATTGGCTTCGGCTAAAACCTTACAACCCACGCTGAAAACCATGACACCCTAAACCCTAGACCCGAATCCCTAAACCAACGAGCTCACAGGCCGAGCCTAAGCCAAGACTAGTTGAGTAGGCTGGAGCGTTTAAGGTTTTTTCGAGAAAGGGCGTGGGCCTTAGACCAGCATGGATCCTCAAAGGCCTGCTGTTAGGGTTTAGGGTTGAGGGTTTAGGGTTTAGGGTTTAGGGTTTAGGGTGAGGATGCAGCTTCTGAAGCCCCAGCACCTTCGAGAGGTCCACCGGGCAGCTCTCCTTCCTCGTCACCGCCATGACATTTGGAGGGCGCGGAGGGGAGCTCAAACTCCACAGTTGCGATTCTTGGGTTTAGGGTTTAGGGTTTAGGGTTTAGGGTTTAGGGTTTAGGGTTTAGGGTTTAGGGTTTAGGGTTTAGGGTTTAGGGTTTAGGGTTAGGGGGGTTCAGGGAAGCAATGCAGCCCAAGGTTCGCTAATACTCCCACTACTTTCTGAGGACCCCCCCCCCCACATTTAAGAACCCTGTAGGATTCGGATTCTTGAGATTCTGGTTCCGAAACCCTCAACCAGGAACCACTCCTAGCAGGTAGATGTAAGAGTTGTTAGAACCCCGAGTAGGCCCTAAAACCCTAAACCCTAAACCCTAAACCCTAAACCCCTTTCAGAGGGTTCAGGTTCCCTTGCAAGCCTCTTTGAGCCAAAAAGGGGGCCCTTTTTATTCCTAGGTTACTCCTGGGTCTAGGTTGGGCTTGCTCCTTTTTGTGCATGTCCCTGCTGCGTCGTTGTTTAGGCTTTAGGGTTTAGAGTTTAGGGTTTAGGGTTTAGGGTTCAGGGTTTAGGTATCGGTTTGCCACTAGGCTAAGCTTAATACCTGCTGCTTAGACCGCCACGCAGAGAGTATTATGGCCCCTGACCCCGTCACGACTTCCGCAATCATGCGGCGGTCTCGGGCCAGGATGGGAGCACGCCTGTATCTTGGCTCTGAAAATCTGCGCGAAAGGCGCGTGCAACCATGCAAGATCTTCAAGGTGTGGTTAAGGGATGGATACAGAAGTTGAAATGAGGACGCCCAGAATGCTGGACTCAATGATGCAACGTGTAATTTCCCAAGGGAGTCTACCAAAGGGTACCCTGTCATTTTGACCCCCCCGCCCTAGGGGCCGCGCAACAGCTTACGTAGATAGGTTCGTGTAACCAGCAGTTTAACTCCAAATGGCTGTCACAATGGTGGCCCCTTGCCAAACCACTCAATCTGCTGAGAATCTCTGAACTGACTTGCTGTCGGGAATAGAGCCTGCTGTCGGTGTTCTTACGCTGCGCTGCTTTGGGGGATGTGCCAAGGAGGCTAGCCCTAAACCCTAAACCCTAAACCACAAAGAACAAACGTAACCTGGACCCTGCCAAGGTACACCACCTTTGTGGAAGTGGAGGACGTGGCTCTCCGTGCCACCATGCCGCTCGGAAGCTGGAAGCGTTTTGGGGGGTTGGGTTTAGGGTTTAGGGTTTTGGGTTCGGGGTTTTGGGTTTAAGGGATGTACTAAGATTTGCTCAAGAACCCCCAAAAAGTATTAAAGAATATTCCCTATGATTACCCTTTATAAGGAAGAATGTTTGTGTTGTTTTGGGTTCTTGAGCAAGTTCGTAGTGTAGCATCACCAACCCCAACGGCGAACCCTTACGCTACGTTCCGGGGCGCAACATGCTGCTCTCCAGCCTGACGAAACAAGCTTTCCAAGTCCGAACTTGGCTCGTTTCTCCCCTAAACCCTAAACCCCAAACCCTGAACCCTGGTTTTGTAGGGCTTGGGGTCTCCTCCCCCGCACCAAGGCTGCTGAACTTCAGCCTCGTCTCCACGCTGATGCTGCACCTGGAGCGGAGAAGGGTGGTTTTGTGGGAATTCGGGCTGAGGGTTCAGGATTTGGGCCTTCTGACCCGAGCCTTAACACGCTCCAAATGCTTGAGATAGACGTAGGGTTGAGCGTTTAGGAAATGGCTCAAGCCATTTGGTTAGAGACTTCAGGATTCGATCCTCGACCTTTGTGTACCCATGGTGGAACAGATGACGAAACTGACCCTTAACCCTAAACCCTAAACCCTAAACCCTAAACCCTGCATTGCCGGAACTCACCGTTCGAGTCACAAACTTGGAGCGATGTCGCCTCGAAGCTGACGCCGGCACTGCTAGAATCCGCAGATTCAAAAATTTAGAAGGATGTTGTGAAATAGTCCTCGTAGACCAGCGCGTACGAAGCCTGTTAGGTAAAAGCTACAGCACTCATGTACAGTCAGAGTCTGTTTGCCGACCAGTTTTGCGACTCACCGCAGGGGCCCCTTTTTGGAGCCAAGGCTCAGACGGGAAAACGGCCAGTTTTCACACTGGTAGCGGAGCCAGTGCCCTTCAGCGGCCAGTGCTCTTTTCACCTTTTTCGTTCGCCCTAGAGGCGATAGCCGCCAGCGTGTGTCGCCATGGCCACTGGCGGAGGTTTGCGTTTCAATCCTCGGAGCAACCAGGAGCCCGAGCTGACAAAGCAAGGTTTCTTGGTGTATAGTGGATCCGTTTCGGACTACTATGAGTGGGAATTTCGGGCGATGGCGAAGTACCACGCTACGAAGGCGGATGAAAGGTTTACACTTGGTGCAAAATTGCTGGAGTCCCTTCGAGGGGACGCTTACATTGTTGCCCAGGACTTGGGGCACGATGTACTGAAGAGCGCCGACGCGATCACGCAGATCATCGACGCTGTGCGTAAGGTGATTTTTCCTTTGCAGGCCCAAGAGGCAAAGGAACTTTACCGAGTCGGGGCCAGCGTTGGTGGTGTGATGTCAAGACAAGCAGGAGAGTCTATGACCTCCTATATCGGGCGAAGAAAGAGATGGTACAGAAAGTTGAAGGAGTTGGACAAGACGATAGAAATATCCGATACCATCCTTGGAGATCTTTTACTCGACAACTCTGGATTAGATCGCAAGGAGCGACTAATGGTGCTTACAGCTGTCGGGGAAACGTCTTCTTTTGATGCGATCGAGAAAGCCCTCATTACTCAACATGGGAAATTGCATGTTCTGGAGTCCCGAAGTTCGGGCAAGGGTGCAAGCAACTACAACCGCCCCAGAGGCATGGCCTACAAGGGAACAAAGAGTTCTGGCAAAGGAAAGGCGAATGCCCAGACTCACCATGGGGCAGCCTATCTGGCAGAGCCTGAGGACCTCTTCGACTCCTACGACGCCGGGGAATCCTTTTGGGATCCCGAGGCAGAGGAAGAAGAGCTGGTACCTGATGACCAGGACAGTTCAGCCTTCATGGCTGATTCCCTTGGAGAGGCAACAGCCGAGAAGATAGAGCTGGATGTTGTGGAAGCATTCCTTTCGACACCAGACTTTAGTCTGGATGATGATGAGTGTATTGCTTTCCTTGCTTCAGCTTGTCAGGCTGAGGTTTGTGCTTTCTTTGCTCGCTCCAAAGCGAAAGGCAAAGGAAAGCCGATGGGAAAGCATGCCCACGGCTACAGGCCCAAGCCCAGCGGTTTGAGTATTGAAGACCGCAAAGCGAAGCTCAAGGAGATCAAGGCACGTAGCGTTTGTCGCACGTGCGGGAAGAAAGGGCATTGGGCTGGTGACCGAGATTGCAAAGGCAAGCCATCTTCAGGAGGCAGCAGCACGCAAGGCACCAAGGATAGAACTGCGCATTTCTCCGCGATCTTGACAAAAGACGCGTCCGTGCAGACCTCGTTTTGTTGCTCATCTTCGGAGAGCGAAGGGTCAGAGGTACTGCATAAGCCTCAGATGTTTCTGGCGCTGGATGACGACCACGAGCATCCCGAGGGTTACCCGGGCTTCTTCAACCCCGGAGACTTTGCGGAGGAAGAAGAAGAGCTCGAAGAAGCAGATGGGTCGTTTGAGCTGCTAGAAGCACCGCCTGAGGGTTCGGACACCGTTTTTGGGTTCGGAGTTCACCGAGGTTCCACCTTCGGGGATGTCGTTTTGAGACACCCTGACTATTTCACGTGGGGCATCAAGGAAAAGAACCCCAGCCGAACGCTGGAGGAGTTCCTTGTGTGGTGTAACATGTACTACGTGTTCCCACGTGGAAAGGCCGAAAGAAGGGAATACCCTCTTTCAGGTTATGAGGCGCGAGACCTCGAGTCTGTTAAGGCCTGGATGCTGTCACAAGGCATCGGTGGAAAGGTGAACAAGTCAAAGCTCGCCAACCTGAAGCCGGATCCTCGTGGACCGTGCCAAGGCGGATGCCCGGCTCATGCCATTAGTAAGGCAGGGTCAAATGACAAGGTCATCAAGACCACTTGCATGATTTGTGGCCACCGATGGTCAGAGCCACGGCCACAAGCGCAGCCCACGAGGGATGCGGCGACTTGTCCTCACAGCCGCGCGGACAACAGAGGTTCCACCAAGGCCGTGCACAAGGTCTGGTGTTTGGACTGTTGTACTTTTGTTAAGGAGATGCCGCAGGCGCTCCACAAGCAACAGGTTGAGCTAGGGAGAGCCGCGCAACAGGCACCCCTGAAGGCTCAGGACCTCACCCGTCGTACGCTTCAGGACACACCTCTTACGCAGATGGAGGCAGGCGAGGTAATCAAGCATTTTGTGAAGAACATGAATAGATACCTCACGAGAGTAGAGAGCACTTCCTCGCAGGAACTTCTGAGCATGTTGAGTGACTCTGTTGATTTTGTAGTAGCAAGCCAAGCCACTCAGCAAGTTTTAGGGACGGCTAGTAGTAGCTCAGGTTTCGCTAGGAGGGATCTCCAAGCACAGGCCCTAAATCCCGTAGGAAGAAGTCCTCCAGGAACTCCCGCTCACGCCTCTGCCGCCGCAGCCGTTTTGGCCCCCAGGACGCCGCCTAGGACCCCGCAGAGGCCGACAGCGCCTCAGCTTCCTGAGGGGGGCTGTCCTCCAGGATATCCACCGCACGCCTTTATGGCGGTGGAAACGCCCGAGCCTGTGTTGGAGCAGCTCGAGGAGGTCGATCCCCTTAGGGACGACCATGTCTACGCCATGCTCGATGAAGGTTGCAACTCCACCTGTCACGGGGAGAAATGGCGTATAGACGCAGAAAAGAAGCTCGAGAAGCTTGGCTTCCGAGCGAAAGCTGCACCACTTACCGTGGGCACCTACCGTGGAATCGGAGGTGCAGAGGCCACGCAGAGATTGGTGTTTCCAATCGCTCTGGCGATGGAGCCATCTCAGCTGTCTTGGAATGGCAGCGTGGCAAGCAACGAGATCGGGGGGCAAGACTTTCCGCTCCTTCTCTCGTTGCAAGTGCAGCAGAAGCTAGGCCTAAGGAAGGACGTGAGAGCCGGACTAGTTCAACTAGCCGACTACCCAGGCCAAAGCTTGAGGTTGTTCAAGAACAGCCGAACCGGACTACTGATGATCCGAATCGACCAGTTCGAGAAGGACTTGGCCGAAGGACATCAGGAGTTCAGACTGGAAGAGTATCCGAACCTGCCAAAGGTCGGACACCAATCACCTTCAAGGACCGTTATGGCCTTGAGAAGCGCCTCTCCAGTTCAGAGAGCCTACATGATTGCCGACACAAAGCCGAACATCGTTTTGATGTCGGCAGGAGTGTGGACGCTAGACGTAGGCGCGGAAAGTTCCAAAGTGAGTAAGGAACTCACCGACGCAGTGGACAGAATCCACGCGAACCGATTTTCGGTCGCACTTCCGAAGAATCTTGAATTGGTGAAGAGAAGTTTGAGGAAGAACTACCCGATTATCACAGAGGAAGTGAAATCGGACGATCACCTGGTGATCTTGGATGTAAGGGACATCCCAGACCCGAAGAAGTACCGGGATCATATCGGGACGTACCCGGAGAACCTGCACCACACCGTCTACAGCAAGACTTTTCTATCCCTTTGGGAAGAAATTGCAAAGCAGATCGATCGGATTATCCGACGATCGAAAGATGGTGACAAGATCATCATCCTTTTCTTGTGCACTGGTGGAAAGCACAGGAGTGTAGCCCTGAGACACCTTGTGCAAGTCGTACTTGAGAATGTCTATGGCATCTGTGCTGGATATTTGGACGTGTCGAGAACAGTCAATTGGCATAAAACATGCCAAGGCTGCACAAGATGCAGACATGTCGAGAGTGACGACAAAGAAATCCTTGAGGAGATGGAGGCCTACGTCGTCAAGCAATGGAAGGGTTTCTTCGACCCCTCAAGAACGCCAGTGAAGGGAAGAAGTCGCACACCAACAGGAACTTGGGTGCGAAAGGACGGGAGAGGTGATGCCTCTACACCTTCTTCGTCCGCCCCGAAGCAGGGAGATCAGCAACTGACTCCCGGCACGGGGGCCACGCCAAAGGCGATGCCGAAGGGCGGAGGCACGCCGAAGAAAGAAGAAAAGGCTTCGACCTCTACGGATGTCAAGGACACCGAGAAGGACAAGAAGAAGACGCAGGCAGCAAACGCGAGCGCGAAGAAAGGAGCCAGCAAGGCGGAGGCCGGAGACTCGTTAACGAGCTCCGATGACGACTTGTTGGGAACCAGTGGCGTCCCAGAACACTACCACGACTTCTCCGATTTGATTGAGGAAGACCACCGGGACTTGGAGCGCATCGCGTACATTTTCATCCACAGGATCGTCCAGGTTTTTCAACCGGATGCCCTGACAAAGCCGGATACGCTGATCCGCAAGTATTCGGACAGCTTGGTGTTGGCTATGGGTGCGGTCGCCCGCAAGTATCTGGACGAGAAGCAAGCTCGCCAGATCCTCGAAGCAGTCTTACGTTTGCGTAGACTGGACATCGAGGGTTTCAACGCAGAGTACCTCGAGAAGTCTCTTAGGGCAGCCACCGAAATGGTTGAGGAGCTCGACGAGGCGACGCCTGACTT